CATCTCACCTCTGCCTGCTGCCTACAGCCATCTCTGTTGCAGTCAACTTGCAGGTGCAATTAGCACATCAAATGGCCTGCATCTTAACTTGAAGCTCTCGGAGCTCGAGGGACAGGGGCAGCAAGTGTCTTCCCGTGGGCTTTGTGTCCCCCGTGCTGCTTGGGTGCCGGGGTGGGACAGCAGATGCGGCCGGGCTGCCAGAACGACTCTGCGTGTTGTGCACAATGCTGCGTCTCCCCTGCTGCGATCTGGGGATCTGGCTGACGAGACACGTGCCTGGCTGACGAGGCACGCGCTGCCCTGGCCTGCCATCGCGGTGGCTGTGCGGGATGGGCGAGCGCCACGAGTGTCCCTCACAAGGAGCCGTGGTGGCTTCTGCTGCTGTTTTCCACGCGAGCGGTACCTGGGTGTTGGCACAAGGTCGGACTGTGCCCTGCCCGTGCTCACGGGGTGGCTGGGACAAGGGGAATTGCAGATTTTCCACATTATAGCCAGACTAGTCAGCATTTGGAGATGGAAGCTCAGTCTTTAGGAGCAGAGTTGCCAGCTGGAGAGTTTAAAAGTAGTTGCCACCTCCCTTCCCACTGTGAGGGGGGACTCGGCCCAGGATTTGCCAGCTTTCCACCTGCCAAAGGCACCAGGCGCGTGGCAAAAGACTGAAATGGCTTTGTAATCCCAGGCAGGTTGGACAGGGAGCCTCCACCGTCTCTGTGCTGGAGGAGGTCCTGCCAGGAGGGGTGAGCAGGAGCCTGGGGAGCAACTCAGTGTGGGGTTACTGCTAAGTATCTGCCTCTCGTCCTGCCCGCAGCGGAAGGCAGGCGGGACCCGAGCTGGCCTGCGGTTTCTGCTCTCTTGTTGCTCCCCCAGGCACTCTGGATCGTGCCCGTGCTTTCACGAGAGCCTCGCGTCTTGGTCAGGCTCGTGTTTTTCTGCATCTTATTTTCATCAACCCTTGTGCTGGGGGTGCTGCCGCCCCTGCACCAGCGACCTGCCCAGACAGCTCCCGTGCTTGCAACAAGGGCAGGGAATTCGCGTGTTCAGCTGGCAGTCGGGGCTCTGCGAGCAGCCGGCCGTTCGTTAGCTGTGTGAGCAAATGAAGCCGACACGGTGGTGTCTGCTCCTGGGGGTAGGACCTGGGTGCTTGGTCCAGCTTGCTGGAAAGTTCCCTGTATGTGGGGGATCCCAGGGCTGGCATAAAGATGCTTCTCACTCTCTGGGGGAAGGAGAGCATGGGCTGGAAGGAGCAGGTCTGAAAACAAGAGCTACTTCTAATTGCCTGCAGCATCTCTCTGCTTAATGGAGTGGAGAATAGAGCTTGCTGCATTTCCCTGGCTCCCTGCTCGGTGCAGGGCCGAGGTCTGGGCTCTCGTGGCCATGAGCCAGGCACTGCTGCGATGCTCTCGGTCCACGTGAGCTGCGACGGGGTGCGACTTCGCTCTGGGGTAGCTGGTCTTGGGACTCATCGCTGGCCGCGGAGAGTGGGAATGGCCTTTTCCAGCCCTCGCAGGCAGCTTGTTGCGGGTGGGAGCTGCAGGAGGGAGCTGCAGGCTGCTCCCTGCCCAGGGTGGGCTCACAGTAAGTCTGAGTACGGTGTGAGCCAGCAGGTCTCTGGGTGCTCGGGCTTGGTCTGAGCTGTCGGGGTGCTCCACGCTGACCTGTGGGCAGTTCTCATCTGGTGACTTACTTGGAGGCTGGGCTACCTGTCTGGAAACTGCATCAGTGCCACCAAGTCATGTGGTGGCTCCGGCAGCTATGTGTCCCCTGCGAGTGATGCTGGCCATGCGTGTTGCTGGGAGAGCCTGTTGCCTTGTGTGGTGCTGCCGTTGGGAGTGACCTTCAGCACCCCTGGTCTTCTGCAGGGGGGTAGAAACCATGAACCTGAAGTGCTCGCAGGTTCGCTTCCAGCCCGGCTTTGGTGCGCGTGAGCTGGGCAGGAGCATGACCAAAGTGACTTGTTGGACCATGCCGCCTGTGATGTAGAAGAGGGACTTTGGCTTTGTGGAGTCTGTGAGCTCTTCCTGAGGGTCCTGGAAAGGCTGGGAAGTTTCCTGCTCCTGGCAGGAGCCTTGAAATCACTGCTTGCATGTTCGTCTGGGGCTCTGCAGGTTGGACAGCTGGAAGGTCTCCAGGTCTTGGTGGAAGGCGCAGCCACTGCCCTCTGGGACTCCATCTCCCTTCCCGCTGCATGGCAGTGACAGGGCTTGCTCCCGCTCAGATGGAGCAAGTCCGCTTCCTGCAGTGCAGAAGCTGCACGGGAGAGTTGAGGTGTTCCAGTTGATCAGTTCGCTTTCCAGAAGTGCAACGGCTGTAAGATCGACATTGAACGGCGCCCAGTAAGAGGCAGAAACCCTCGGAGCAGCAGACACGCGCTGGGTTAGTTGAGCCGTTGGTGTTAACCGGGCTTTACCCCGTAACCACCAAGCAAAGGCACCTGCTGCGTCTCACGCCGCGCCCTTTAA